TAAATAAAATATATATAAAAAAGAATGCTTACATTAATATGTTCTCTATAGAGTAATTTGTATTTTCAAGTTCAATCCTAAGCACTGTTGTGCTACATGAAATCATTTGAAATCACTGGTATTGTCATGGAAATACATAATTTTCTAATGTAAAATGTGTACTATTTCTCACATGTATAATACCCAAGCAAATCACATAAATTTGCATAGCAAGAGTCAGAAACATTGAGATATGTGACCTTTTAAGTACTGTGCTGAATCAAACTCAGTGCCTCTTATCTTAGGCATCTAACACCACCTAAAACCAGAGCATGAGGTATGGAACATTTGAGATGGTGTTCCATGTATAGCAGAGCACAAAACTTATCTTTCATAATTTCCACTTTTTCTGTTTGCAAGTAAGTCTTGAACATTTGATCACTGTTACAAAATCAACTGCCAGAATCTCAGGTGTTGAATATTTGGGTGCTGAACATCTGGATTCAGAAAAATAAGTAAAGGCTACTGGATCATGACCATGACTTCATAACTGTTCCTCCATTTAGCTTTGATTGGAAGAGAGTAGGCCACTGATGTACAACACTTAAACACATATTTTGCCTCAGTCCTCGGAGACCTTCTCTTTCTCTATTTCAATCTTTGTTCCTCTCTCTCCTTTCTTCAGGATGAGAATTGTCCCCCACCACATGGTTGCCACATTCCTACGTATTCTTTCTCTGTAAGTCATATCAATAGAAACAAATAAATTTGTATCAAAACTTTGTAATAATGATTTTTTAAAAAGGCTCTTCACTTTACTTCATATTTCAGGTATTTTGTCTCAGCAGAGGAATTTCACTCAGCTTAACCATTGTGAATTTCTGTCTGTAGGCATCTGTTTCATTACATATTGTAGAAGGTGCACATACATGTAAGCACTCCTTTATGGACTTAGTCTTAAAACTTTACCCAGAGTCTCACATGTTCATACCTTCCTTTCAATGTAAAGGAAAATCCAAATCCATGTGTTCAGGTGTCCCATAAAGAGGTGAGGGGTAATTGCAAAGAAAAAGTCTCACTTTTTATATACATCAATACCCATAAATTAGGACTAAAATGACAAAGCCAGATAATCATTATATTTATTGTAATGTCTCTAATACATCATTTAATCTCTAATAAATGGATCATGCAAATTATTTCAGATTAAGTCCCCATGGAACAGAATCCTGGGTAAAACCAATCCACTGATTTACCCAAATTTGAAAGATTATCCTTGTATTAGCATTCGCTTATCATCCGCTGAAACAAGAAGTGAGGGTTTCTACTTGGAAGGGAGATAATATTTTTTCAATGAATTTCTATGTGACATCATTAAACACATGCTTGATTTATTAAAATATCAACTTATATGCAACTTTAAAATAGTTTCAAAATGAATCAAACAGTTTATTGAAAATGTATTTAAAGTAACTAAAGAAAAAGGATTTCTTTAAATTAAATTAATAGAGAACTTTGATGTCATTACACACCATTTTCAAAGAGCAACACTAAAATTTTAATATAGCCATGGATGAACATGTAAATATACTTATAATGTTTTAAATTATTTTATCTTCTCAATTTAGTTTTACACAAAAATTTTATAACATTCAAAAATATTTAAAATTTCAGTTTAATAAAATAGTAATTCTGTGGATGTGCATATATTCATCTTATTAATCAAAATATAGTTCATTTCAAATATTCAGGGTTGGCTGTTTTGAATTAGCAGAGGACTGAAGCCCAGCACTGCTACTTTACAGTGAAGTGCATTCTTAGTGCAGTCCGTAAATGAAGCAAATCAACCTTTTGATGTCATTCATGAATTTTGAATGAGGCATTATTAATTCACACTGGAACTAATATCAGTGATGCCTTGATAATGTACAGATTCATTAGTTCTTATTCAGCCACTATTGAAACAAATTATCACATAATCCCTAGAAAGCAATAGAAACTGAATTGATTTCCATATTAAATTAACAAATAGTGTACAGTCTTCAAAAAGCTACAGTACTAGGAACACTAGTAAGTTTCCTGTAGATATGATACTATCCTCACATATACCAATATACATTTTCATATATTTACATTTTTGTGTAAATATAATAATTTATAATATCTGTATTAGTCATTTTTCTGTTGCTGTGATAGAAACACTGACCCAAGCAATTTATTGAAGGAAGAGTTTATTTGAGCTTACAGTTCATCTTGCTGCTCTAGGCTGAAGACTAGCCAATCTTTTGGAATTCATAAGACCTTCAGCACCAGATTGGGACTACTGAGACATGCAGCCTTGTGGACTGAGTGACTACAGATTCTCAGCCTGTACAGCATGGTGCAGCCATCATTGGACTGCTGGGACTCTATCTTGTGAGCTAAGCTGATAAATTCCTATACATACATATTCACTCTACTGGTTGTTTCTTTGGAAAACCCTGACTAATATACGTTACCATTCCAAAAGGGAGGAATGGAGGCATAGTAAGGAAATACCAGACCAAAAAAAGACTGAAAACCAGCAGGGCAAACACCAAATCCAGTAGCTCCATGTCCAACTTCTGGGACTTTACTTCCAATGGGCTTAGATGACTCAGCCTCTCTACCTTGCAGTGTGCAATACACATCTCTCTCTTGGGCTGGTACCACTCCCTGTTTGCAGGTCTTCTTGGCAGATGCCTCACAGCTCTGGCGTCATGGACACCTTCTTGGGATTTCCATTGCCAGCCAGGCTTCACCTTCACAGCTTCACACAATGGACTATCAAGGCCTTCTCTATGCAGGGGTACTGCTGCTTCATGATGCCTGGCCTCCAAGGCTCTCTGAAACTCAGAGGAAGAATTGATGACCACTTCACTCTTCCATCTTTCATGCCTCTAAAGCCAGCACCAAGTGAACAACACTGCCAAGTTTGACTACAAGTTTGGAATGGACTCCAACCTGCTTTATCCATTTTAGCAGATTTCTCTTCAGTGGTCCCTGTAGCATTTTCTTTTCACAAGTTGGAGGCTTAACTGGGTGTGGTCTTGCCCTAGAGGCACTCTCTCCTTGTTTAAGTTTGAATCTTTAGGCCCTTCCTTAATCACTGTAATCTCCCTTAATCATCTCCTTATCAATGGAATTCTCCCCATCACATGCCAGGGCTCCAACATTAGTCTCCCTAGTGCTCTTTTTCAATCCATCCTGTACACTCTGTATTTCTTTCTGCCCCATTTGCTCTTTTTCTCTGTAAATCTGTATAATATTCACCATTAATAGCCATGCCACCATTTCTACATTAGCCTGTCTTGAATTTCTTGGGCCAGAGAAATTAGTCGATGGATTTTCAACTTAGCCTCAGGCAAGCTTTGTGGCTGTGGGCAGATTCCAGCCAGGCTCTTTGCTAAAATATTCTGATTGCAGCTTAAGTCCTTATTTTCCTCTGGAACTACATTGATCTCAGCACTACTTTCTTCCAGGCCCTACTAAAATGGCCTGTTAAGCTCTGCTTACATCAATCAACCACTTTTCTAGCCCAACCTTCCAAAGTCTTCCACATTTCTTCAAAACCCCACATGGTCAGGTTCATCACAGCCAGCATGCCACTCTCTGGTACCATTTACTGTATTAGTCACTTTTCTGTTGCTGTGATACAAACACTGAATTTATAGAAGGTAGAGTTTATTTGAGCTTATGGTTCCAGGGGAATTACAGTTTATCATGGCAGGGAGGCATGGTGGCTGGAGGAGGACAGCAGAAGTTAAGTTCTCACATCATCACACAGGCACAGGAAGCAAGAGCACAACTGGAGACCTGGCAAGTCTTTAGAATTTGCTAAGCCAACCTGCTTCCTTCAGGATGGTCACACCTTCTAAAACCTCCCAAAACAGCTCCATCATCTGGGGACAAAATTTCCAAATACATGGAACCTATGGGGGACATTTTCATTCAAACCATCACAATATCTTACATAATAGCTTTAAATTTCTTTCCATCAATAGTATTCTGAGTTGGCAGAAAATATCTCCCTGTAGCCACACCTGCCTGCAACTCACTATGTAGATCAGGCTGGCCTTAAACTCACAGAGAACTGCCTGCCTCTGCCTCTCAAGTACTGGGACTTTAGGCGACAATGTCCTCAATTTTTATCATTATCTTCCATTTTCAAAGACCTAGGCTAAAATGTAATAGAATAGTAAAATGTTAAAATCACAAAGATTGTAAGATAAGTTTTCATTTTGTCTGTTTTTCTGTTTTTAACCACATCAAGTAATACTGAAAACATCTAACCATTCTTTCTATTGTGTTATGCAGCACTAAATTAATATACTTTACATATTATTCTCACCTGTGAGTAATGGGAAATGATTGCTTTTGGATACTCAGGATTTTCCTTTTTCCTATGGTAGATTTATGCCAAACATACATCATAATAAAATGCATTCTCACTCATTAAAAAAAAAAATACATCTATTATGATGAATTTTCCTTGTCCATGAATTATTCAAGGAACAATTGGAACTAATGAAGCATTGCTAATGCATTGAAGGAAAATATATCCCTTCAATTCTGAGTCAAAACTTGCTATAAATTTTCATATTATGCTTTATAAATTAGAAAATATGAATTTGGGGCATTTTGACTGAGATAGAGTCTCCCTGAAGTCCTGGATGATGTGAAACTCACAAAGAACACCAGCCTGGCATTGAACTCACAGTGGTCTCTCTGCCTCTGCCTCCCAAATCCTGGGATTATAGCTGTGAGCCACCATGCCCAGTGAAAATATAAATTCAGTTGAAGGTTAAAATTAGCCTATGGTTTCAAATGTTTTTAAATAAAACAGTTACATCTATCAAAATATCATATACCATTTGATGAAAATACAAAAATAATTAAGATAAATTTTTAAAATATTTTCTATAACACTCTATCATATTATAGAGTCTACTTTGCTGTGGCCTTTTTATTATGGGGAATTTCCACTCTTAAAAAGATATCTGGATAAATATATACTGCTACTTCATACACTTTAGGATTTTCCAAGTCACATACATGGGTTAACATTTCACATGCTCTTGAGAGAATATGTGGCAATTCATTGACACTTAGATGCTTTATTGATACAGTGTATTCTCTGAGAGTAGATAATGAGGTATTAATCTTTGAATTCTGTGAGGTTCCTGTTCACTATGAAATCCCTGATATTTCCTAAGACAGGAGCCACTTGTAAATGGTGGCTGACATGATTTTTATCTGCAGATTTTGTATACATAAGGATTCTGTGATATTCAACACAACTGTATCGCAAAGTGAATGCTTTCTCACATTTTTTATGTTGCTAGTTTCTCACAAATATGAATTAAAATAAATTTTGATTGGAGATTTTGCAGTTTTTTACTTAATTCTAAGTTTTCTTTCAGCACACTATAAAGTTTTGTAATATATAAATATAAGTGTTTTAACATTTTCCAGAATTTTAAACATATCCCTTTAGTAAGGATTCTATATTTTATTCTAAGTATTGAGTCCAGGGTAAAGGATGTACCACATTCTGAGCAATTGTAACCTATCTCCTTAGTATGAGTTTTTGATAACTGTTACCATTTGACATATGATTAAAGAAATTGCCACATTCCTTACATTACACTGTCCCCCTTTATTGTAACTTCTTTGATGTTCTCTAAGAGTTGAAATACAATGGACTTCTCAAAACCTTTTCATTTGTGAGTTTCTCTCCAGGATGAATCCTCTGATGTCTTCTATGTGCTGAGCTCTCAGTTTGTCAAATTCATCTTATCAAAATGGTTACTTTCCAGTATGAATTCTCTGAAAAAAGATTAAATATGACATACAACTAAAGGACTTGTTACATGCTTTATGTTTGTAGGGTTTCTCTCATGTATGAGACATGAGAGATGTGCTCTAAGATGAGATATATTTTTAAAAGGACTTCTTACATTCTTCACATTTGTAGGGATTCTCTCCAATATGAATTCTCTTATGTGCCTTATAAGTTGAGATCACCATAAAGACTTGTCACATTCTTCACAACTGTAGGGTTTCTCTCCAGTATGTATTTGCTGATGTCTTCTAAGATGTGATATTTGACTAAAGGACTTGCCACATTCTTCACATCTGTAGGGTTTCTCTCCAGTATGTATTCGTTGATGTACTCTAAGAGCTGATACTTCCCCAAAGGACTTGCCACATTCTTCACATTTGTAAGGTTTCTCTACAGTATGTATTCTCTGATGTACTCTAAGATGTGACATTCGACTAAAGGACTAAAGGACTTGGCACATTCTTCACATTTGTAGGGTTTCTCTCCAGTATGTATTCGTTGATGTACTCTAAGGACTAACATTTCACTAAAGGACTTGCCACATTCTTCACATCTGTAGGGTTTCTCTCCAGTATGGATTCGCTGATGCGCTCTAAGATTTGACCATTTACTAAAGGACTTGCCACATTCTTCACATTTATAGGGTTTCTCTCCTTTATGCATTCGCTGATGTAATTGAAATGTTGACATATGAGTAAAGGCCTTGGCACATTCTTCACATCTGTAGGGTCTCTCTCCAGTATGTGTTCGCTGATGTTCTCTAAGTTGTGACATTCGACTAAAGGACTTGCCACATTCTTCACATCTGTAGGGTTTCTCTCCAGTATGTATTCGCTGATGTGTTCTAAGACTTGACCACTGACTAAAGGACTTGCCACATTCTTCACATCTGTAGGGTTTCTCTCCACTATGTATTCGCTGATGTGTTCTAAGACTTGACAACTGACTAAAGGACTTGCCACATTCTTCACATCTGTAGGGTTTCTCTCCAGTATGTATCCGCTGGTGTGCTCTGAGACTTGACAATTGACTAAAGGTCTTGCCACATTCTTCACATTTGTAGGGTTTCTCTCCGGTATGCATTCGCTGATGAAATTGAAATGTTGACATAAGAGTAAAGGCCTTGGTACATTTTTTACATCTGTAGGGTTTTTCTCTAGTATGTATTCGCTGATGTCTTCTAAGTTTTGACAATTGACTAAATGACTTGCCACATTCTTCACAGCTGTAGGGTTTCTCTCCAGTATGTATCCGCTGATGTGCTCTAAGACTTGACATTTCACTAAAAGACTTGCCACATTCTTCACATCTGTAGGGTTTCTCTCCTGTATGCATTCGCTGATGTCTTCTAAGATGTGGCATGCAACTAAAGGACTTGACACATTCTTCACATTTGTAGGGTTTGTCTCCAGTATGAATTGCCTGATGTCTTCTAAGGCTTGACATTCTACTAAAGGACTTTCCACATTCTTCACACCTGTAGGGTTGCTCTCCAGTATGTATCCGCTGATGTCCTCTAAGATTTGACATTCGACTAAAAGACTTGACACATTCTTGACATCTGTAGGGTTTCTCTCCAGTATGTATCCGCTGATGTATTCTAAGATGTGATGTTCGACTAAAGCATTTGCCACATTCTTCACATTTGTAGGATTTCTTGCCAGTATGTATTCGCTGATGTCTTTTAAGAGTTGACATTTCAATAAAGGACTTGTCACATTCCTCACATTTGTGGGGTTTTCCTCCAGTATGATTTCCCTGATGTATTTTCAAACTTGACATTGAAATAAAGGACCTGTCATCTTCATATTTGCAGTGTTTCTCTACATTATGCACCCTCTGATGTCTTCTAGGAGTTGGGTTCTCCAGGTAATGAAAAAAAGAAGACAACATTTTAATATGCAGAGTAGGGCTGAGACAATCACACACAGATACAGAAGGAACATGTAATATGCATGAATACAATTTCCAACATTGAGAAACATTCAAAAAATCAAAATCTTTGGAATAAAAGGAGACAAGGAGAGAGTACTTTGGACCTCCATCAGGGTAGCTGCTCAGAGCTCAGCAGACGAGAGTGTGGGGTTCTGGCCTCCCTCAGGCCTCCAACTACCAGAGGGCCAGAGAACCCAAGGGGCAGCCTGACAGCCCCCAGATCCTGCCTCCACGTGGTGGTGAGCTTCCCCTAATTGTGCCATACCATCCCCCAACCTGGGATTTTGTGAGGCTCCTCCCAAGGCCCCAGGGCAGATGTGGCTTTGGTAGGCTAAGGCTGGGGTCTCAGAAGACCTCTATAGAGTGCCCAAGTTCTGGCCCCCCTCTGCCCTCACTTTGGCATAGGGTTTACAATGCAAAGAACTCCCTGAGAGACCCTGGATTCTGCTTCCATCTGGTGAAGGAAGCCTAAGTGTACCTGACTGGACCTGAATTGGGTTTTGTGGGAACCCCTGAATAGCTGAACTGGAGCCATCACTTCCTTCCAAAATAAACCTGAAAGAACCTGAGCCCTGCATCAACCAGCTTTATATAACCGATAAAGAAAGTATCTAAGTACCCCAATAATACAAAAGAAGCATACTTCAACTTAATTCTCATATCAGAATCATAAACAACAAAAGAAAGTCACATGCCAAAACCACAACAAAAGAATAATAAAATGGAAAACCAAAACACTATGTCCCCACCAAACTCTACCAACCCTGAGAAGAGTTCTACAGGGAGAACCCCCTAGAGACAACCCAGGACACTGAATTTAAAAGAACAATCATAAACATGATCAAGGAATTCAATGAATTTAAAGAACACATGAACAAACAAATCAAAGAGCTAAAAGAAGATAGGGATAAACTTCTGAATGAATTCACAAAAGAGATAGAAACACTGAAGAAAACTCAGGCAGAAATGAAGAAGGAAGTGAAAAACTCAAGTCAACTTGAAACAACAGGGGAAAGCCTCACCTCTAGAATGAATGAAATGGAAAACAGAACATCAACGCTGGAGGATAAAGTTGAAGAACTGGATAACTCAAGCAAATAGTATGGAAAAATTTTAAAAACATAGAAATGAAATATGCAAGAGATATTGGACAGCATGAAAAGACCAAATCTATGGATCATAGGAATAAAGGAAGGAGAATGTCAGGTTAATGGTGTTGACCAGATCTTAAACAAGAGAGTAGAAGGGAATTTCTCAAAATTAAGGAAAGACATTCCCATACAAATACAGGAAGCACATAGAACACCAAAAAGACAGGATCAGGAAAGAAACTCACCACGGCATATCATGGTAAAAACACTAGATGTACAGAACAAAGAGAGGATACTGAAAGCAGCAAAAGAAAAACAAGTTACATATAAAGGAAAGCCCATCAGAATTACAGCTGACTTATCAATTCAAATTATGAAAGACAAAAGAGCCTGGACCAGGGTATGTCCAGTTCTACATGATAATAGATGCTAGCCCAGAATACTATACCCAGAAAAAATGTATACTATATTTCAAGGGGAAAGAAAAATCTTCCATGACATGAAAAGCCTGAAAGAATACATGTCCACAAAACCAGCCCTTCAAAAAATACTTGAAGCAATACAGAGAGCAGAGAGAGAAACAACTATACCTTGGGGCAACAAAAGAAAATAAACAAAGATATAATCTAGGAAACACAAAATTACACAGAGAACAAAAACAGCAATCAAAAGGGCGGCAACCAATACACACCTTTCAATAATAACCTTAATATCAATGAACTGAACTCCCCTGTCAAACGACACAGGCTAAGCAAATGGATTAAGAAACAAACTCCATCTCTTTGCTGTCTGCAAGAAACCCATCTCACCTTCAAGGAGAGGCACTACTTTAAGGTGAAAGGATGGAAAAGAATATTCCAAGCAAATGGCACTAAGAAACAAGCACGGGTTGCAATTCTAATATCTGACAAAATAGACTTCAAAGTAAAACTAATCAGAAGACATAAGGAGGGTCAGCTCATTCTGATCAAAGGAACAGTTAACCAAGAAGATATTACAGTCCTTAACATATATGCACCAAATTCTGGTGCACCCAAATTCATAAAAGCAATACTGCAGGACTTTAAGACACAGACTAATCCCAACTCAGTAATAGTAGGGGACTTCAATACCCACTGTTTCCATTAGACAGGTCAACTGGACAAATAAACAGATGAACATCTGAATTAAATGATACCATTCATCAAATGGACCTAATAGACATCTTTCGATTATTCCATCCAAACACCAAAGAATACACTTTTTACTCAGCAGCTCATGGAACATCTTCAAAAATTGACCACATACTGGGCCACAAAACAAACCTCAACAAATACAAAAATATTGAAATAATTCCATGCATTCTATCAGACCACAAAGCAATCGGGCTCAAAATCAACACTGGATGAAGTTCTAGTCACTACACGAACTCCTGGTAATTGAAGAATGCACTCCTAAACAATGAGTGGGTGAAAGAAAAAATTAAGAAAGAAATAAAAGCATTCCTGGAATTCAACAAAAAGGACAATACAACACAACAAAACCTCTGGGACACATTGAAAGCTGTCCTTAGAGGGAAGTTTATAAAAAATTATAAAGAGCCCAAGTAAAGACCTAAGACTGGAACTCAAGACGCTGGAAAGGCAAGAACAAATGAAGCCCAAACCCAGCAGAAAAGAAGAAATAACAAAAATCAGAGCAGAAATTAATGAAGTAAAATTAATGAAGTAGAAACAAAGAATCAATGAATCTAAGAGCTGGCTCTTTGAAAAGCTTAACAGGATAGACAGATCCTTAGCCCAGTTAACCAAAAGAAACAAAGAGCAAATCCAAATTCTGAAAGTCTAAAAGAAATGGATGGATATCTGAAATCATGGGAACCTCCAAAGTTAAACCAAGAAGAGATCAACAGTTTAAAAAGATTCATAAAATATAAGGAAATTGAAACAATAATACAAAGCCTCCCAACTCAAAAAAGGCCAGGTCCAAAAGGATTTACAGTAGAATTCTACAAGACATTTAAAGAAGACCTTCGACCACTAATACTTAAATTATTCAAAATGATAGAAACAGAGAGAGAACTCCCAAATTCCTTCTATGAAGCCAGCATCACTCTAATATCCAAACCAGGTAATGACACAACCAAAAATAGAAAACTATGGATTCATATCCTTAATGAACATAGATGCAAAAATTCTCAACAAAATACTTG